CCTGAAATTTTAATATTTATATATTTGCATATCTCACTAATGAATCAGCCCACCCACCACCTGTCCCCTGCCCCTCACGCCGCACTTTTAGGAGAACAGGGGACATGTGGATTTTTTCTCTCTGTCGCACCCCCAGGTGCTTCGCGCACTGAGATACCCACGAAATACGTGTTTGACCACGCTCCCCGCTTTCCACGCTACCGTCTCTCCTGCAGTTCTCTGGCTGCTCTTGCTGCAGGTTCCCTGAATGTAGGCGTTTTCTTAAGTTCTGCATCTCAGCTACTCGCAGCATAATCTGCTCTAGGAGTATTCTTTCTGCTCTTTTAGCTTCAACTGTCACTTCTTTGTGGATGAGTACACACTGATCTCTCTATCCTGACCTCTCCTGAATCACCGTGCTCGACTTCCGGTTGGGCTCTTTGGGTTCTCACCTGCCCTCAAGTTGAAGAAAACTGAACCATTTACCTCCCCACACGTGTGCCCTTCTGTTGTGCTTCCCTGCCACCTTCACTAATGTATTGTGCTCCACCTAGTCACCTGGGCTCCAAGCCTGAGAGCCCTCCCCAACATCACCTTCTCCCAGGCCACGCATCCAGCGTGTCTCCAAGTTCTATTGATCTGATCAAAGAGATAAATGTATTGTCTTCCTAGCGTCCCACCGCCCTCCCCCTCAGCCGTCTGACTGACTGCTTTCCTTCCACTGCCCAGTTCTAACCCAGTCTCTGTGTGGTCTACAGAGTCCTCTACCTCCACTATCTGGTCCCTGCATCTTCCACAGCCACGAGGTTTGCTTCCTCCTTTGTGGGGACGTTCAGAATGTTGTGATGATGTCCCCTCAGCAATGGGCTGAATTTTGATGAGCGTGGTTAGCCTGTAGATTTTTGCATTAAGGAACCATAAACTGCTTTGAGTCTAACACTTCCCGAAAAGGTCCAAGCTTCTGTCCTTTGCATACCCACAAATGCTTTCCCTTGGTATGTCTTTTATAAACGCCCTCCTGTAAGCAGAGCACATTCTAAAGCTCCATGCCAAAGAAAGTGACGTCATTTCCAAAGTGGGCTGTTGCCCGTGATGTTCCCCAGGACGGGCCCCGCTCCCTCCCACCCAGCACTGACATCTCCTCCTTCAGGAACCTAACATGCATCATAACAGCCTCACTTGTCTGTTCCCTGACTTCAGTATCTTAAAAAAACATGTGTCTGTTGAGAGAAATGCTCTAACTTCAGTTGCATTTTAGAACCAAATGCTTTCACAACTGTAGGGTTTTCCCTAGAAATGAACTGGAGCTGGAGCTACTGAGGTGGGCCTCTGGGCCAGTCACACAGGAGGCTTTTTTAGGTTCTAACTCCATCTGGAATTACTAGAATTTGTTACTGTCAAGTCTGATAGGACTTTATCCAGAATTTTTTTTTATTTTCAGTGGCTCATATGCCATTTCACTATCTAGGCCTAGAGACTCTTAATTCCTTAAAACTTGATAATTTTAGCTTACTGATTTCCGTTAGTAAGTCACTTGATTGGAGTGATGCAATCTATAGGCTAAATCTCATCATAGGCTTCTGAATCCCCTGAAGTAGAAAACGATGTAAGTTTGTAGAGTGCCCTGAAGGAGTAGTTACTCTGCTGGGCATTGGCTGTCTTATAATTCTCTGAAAAGTGCATCTAAGGTTCAAAGAGGCTGCGTAACTACTGATGTCACACAGCAGCTAGTGAAAATCTGACCATAGATTGAGCTCTGTGACTGAAGGTTATGCTCTCTCCACCATATTCAGTAAATTTGACTAATTTTGCAAATCATAAGCAGTGCTGAAAATGTTTTATTTCTTATCTCATTACAGTGATCAGTTAATTAATATTTTTGACATTTCCCTTTTCCTGTCTTCTCTCCACTGTTTTAGAGCGTACTCCTTCCACGTCACTGCAGATGGTCAGATGCAGCCTGTCCCTTTCCCCCCCGACGCCCTCATCGGCCCCGGCATCCCCCGACACGCTCGCCAGATCAACACCCTGAACCACGGGGAGGTGGTGTGCGCCGTGACCATCAGCAACCCCACGAGACACGTGTACACGGGAGGGAAGGGCTGCGTCAAGGTCTGGGACATCAGCCACCCCGGCAACAAGAGCCCTGTCTCTCAGCTCGACTGTCTGGTGAGCGAACATGGATGAATGTGGCTTAAACCTTCGTTCAGGAAAAGGGACCTGGATGTGCCGGCAACACACAGTATTGACCCCACGTGGGTAGTTGTCTTCAGTGGTTTGTGGTCTTTCACTTGGCGATTTAGAGCGCTGGTGAGGTGTGTCTTCTCTCAGTCACCTAAGGTAGACTTAGCCGGTTCTGCATGTTTTCATTGACCCAGTTGGGTGCATGGAAGCAGGCAGACCACTTGTTTTCCTATCTGATCAAGGAGTTTAAGAAAACCAGGAGCCCCCAATGGTTTCTGTGAGAGTGCACCCAAGTGTCATCGTCTGTCACGTTGCAAGACAAGAGTAGCTTAATACTTCACGTGGCCAACGTTAGACACCCGTTAGCTGTGTCATAGGTCCTTGAGTTATTTAGGAAATTTCAGTTTGATTTTCTTCCTTAGACCAGCAGTAGGATTTTTGCGGCAGCATGGCCCTAGGTCAGTTTAACGTAATTGCACAAGATCCCCATAACCTTGTGAGCTGGGAGGAAGCTGTTGTTTTCTGTCACTTAATTCTCCCTGATCAAGTCCTGCCTCTGGGTGATGCTGCTTAATCGACCCACCATATCCTTTAGCCACGTAGAGTGGAGCCAGGCGACAGGAAGGGACCGCAGGTCTCTCACCCCCTGACACTTTCTTGGCAGCAGAAGCAGGGCCTTTCACCAGCTGCGTCGAGTATACCCGGTTCCCAGGCGTGGCCACCGCAGGACTGTGGGGGCTGCCGCGTCTGTGGGAGTCTGTGTGTGCAGTGACTTAGGCGGTGGTGGGAGTGGGCCTAGGTCTTTCCATTTTCATGCTAATTAAGATTAAATATCTCGGTACTAAATTTTGTAGATCAAGTTTAAGTACTTCCTTAATTTCATGTAATTTACTAGCATTAATCCACTTTATCATTGTCATAAGTGAAAATGGCTCATTAAAACCAGGAGGGAACACAATACTTTTATGGATTTCTGCTCTCATGTTAATGCTGTTTTCCTTTCCTCATGAGTAACCTCTTGATGGTTTTTGTCTCTGTAGAACAGGGATAACTACATTCGTTCCTGCCGATTGCTCCCTGATGGTCGCACCCTAATTGTGGGAGGGGAAGCCAGCACTCTGTCCATCTGGGACCTGGCGGCTCCCACCCCACGCATCAAGGCAGAGCTCACGTCCTCGGCCCCCGCCTGCTACGCCCTGGCCATCAGCCCCGACTCCAAGGTCTGCTTCTCGTGCTGCAGCGACGGCAACATCGCCGTGTGGGACCTGCACAACCAGACGCTGGTGAGGTGGGTCCGCAGGTCCCTAACCAGGGCAGCTGTGTTTACTGTGCTGTCCTCATGAGCCATGTGTCTTCTTAAAAAGATAAAACGTAATTATCTTACTAAAAATTGTTAAGAATAGGGCCATTTTAAGATACTGTAAAATCTTATTTTCTGCACCATTCAAACTTTTTCAGATAAAGAGCTGTTTTCTTTTTTCTTCTTTTTTTAAAATTATACTAAGCATCACCAATTCAGGGTTTTAAAATAGGAGGTCAGTGTTACATAATTAATGCACATCAGGTACCCAGAACCTCATGAGCTCATTAGACATCTGTAATAGGCTGTCTGTGCTAACAAGCATCGTTATCAATAGACACTCGTTGAGAGGATTCACTCTGCAGGGCACTATCCAGGGTACCGTGTGTATCTGACACATTCTTTCCTTCAACAAATAATCATCAAGCTCCTATCCTGGGCCCAGGCATTGTGTTAGGTGCACCTCACCCCGCGTTGGTCTAGATGATCTACAGTCCCACGTCTCAGGATGGATAGGCGTAACTGTCTCTTGAGAAGTGAGGTTGAGATTGTATAGGATTGGCATTGATAGGAACAGCCCTGAAACACGTGTGTCTCCAGATGTCAGCACCTGAGGGAGCAGGAAGCAGGAGGTGTAAGCTGCTGAAGGGTGTGAGGAGGTTGTCATCGAGCCCAGCTCCAAGTCCAGGGGGGCGGGAGGAGAATTGGCCTCTGCTGTCCGTCTGTAATATATTTTGCAGGATGAAGCTCTAGAAATGATTCCAAAAACAATATAGTCATCACCTTTTTTCTTTTGGGTAAGACTCTTACAAGGAACTGCTTCTAAGCCTTCTCTCCCACCACTGTGTTTTTTACATTTTTCCTGCTCCTGGGGTGGCCAGGTCACACTGAGATTTCTTCCACACCCCTTACTTGAGAGCCCGGCACCGCCACCCACCGTGGTGTTGCTCGCTGGCAGAATTTGTCCCCAGAGCTCTTAGAAGGGAAAAGGCTCCTTACGTCCTCTTAAATTCTCTCCTTCCTTCGTATCACAGTGATAGAATGGGTCTCAGGTTAAATCTTTGATCAGTTCATATTCATGTAGCCATGTGTTTTCTTCTGTTTCAGGTGGAGATTTTTTTTCCATCAGGTGTATCAATTGTGTTTTAGCATAAGAGTAATTTGAAGAGTACTTCCTCAGTGTTCAGAAATAAACAAAAAGTGCAGGAGATTCAGCATCTCAAACTTTAATCTCTCTATGTATATGCTTTGTTATTACTTTGAATAATAGAAAATACAATAAGTTAGAAGGAAATTGAGCAATAAGGCCTGCAATGAAATTGATGACTGAGGAATTCTAAACTGAGTTCACCTAAAAACTTATCTGTCAAGGACTTTTCTCTGTTTTGACATCTTCAGGCAGTTCCAGGGCCACACAGACGGGGCCAGCTGCATTGACATTTCTAACGATGGCACCAAGCTCTGGACGGGCGGCTTGGACAACACGGTCCGGTCCTGGGACCTGCGCGAAGGGCGGCAGCTGCAGCAGCACGACTTCACCTCACAGGTGCGGGCTTGTGCACAGGACGCCTTAGAAGGCATGGCTTCCTGAAATAAATGAGAGGCAAGCGGGAATTCCAGATCACTTCTGATTCTGGATTAGATAATTAAAAATTTTGTTATTTTCTATCAAAATACAACAGTATATATTTTGTCAAAGAATTTTTAAAAATCTCACTTATTGTAAGCTTTTAGCAAGTTTTTATTTCAATGGCCATTACTCTGTGAAATTTAAATTTCACATAATTGATTAGTAAGCTATATTATGGAGATCTGTCTCATTACTTGGGACCACCCATTTGACTTTGATTTCTTCCTGTACAGTTCACATTATCTTGATTTCCTCCGTAATTTTAAATAGTATCCCCTGAAGAGGCAGTACCTCCCAGTTAAAGGAAGTGCATTCTCGGTAGCCCCCTTCACTGTCGACTGTTTTAATTCTAGATCTTTTCTCTGGGCTACTGCCCAACCGGAGAGTGGCTGGCAGTGGGGATGGAGAACAGCAACGTGGAGGTGCTGCACGTCACCAAGCCCGACAAGTATCAGCTGCATCTCCACGAGAGCTGCGTGCTGTCGCTCAAGTTCGCACACTGCGGTAAGCCGGCCCCTTGTGTCCATCAGCCAGGACCACTCAGTCACCCGCCTTCCTGCTGACTCATTTCAAGTCAGGGCCTCTCCTTCATTGATGTGTCCCTATTCAGCATTATATTACTTCCTCACACATGCCCACTTCCCTGATGCCATGCAATTTTCTGGCATTTATCCATTTTATCCTTGTCATAAGTATAAATGATTCATTAAATTTAGGAGAGTGGGCTTTATTTTTCCTTAAAACTCTTATTTGTTGCAAATTAGACAAGTTTCCTGTGTACCATTTGATGTTCTACAAAGCAAATCTCAGGACCCTGACAAAGTAACAAACACTGCCTTTTTCGAAACCCTCTTCCTGTAGGCAAATGGTTTGTAAGCACGGGGAAGGACAACCTTCTGAACGCCTGGAGAACACCTTACGGGGCCAGTATATTCCAGGTAACACTTTGCTTGCTTGCCTTCACTCACTGTGTGCTCACTGCGTGGTTCTCTGCATTCTCACAGGTTAGTAATGGACACAGGTGTGTCCCAGCTAGGCCGTGGGTGCTAGTGTCACTCCCATGGCTCAGAGAGGAACCCTGTGCCTGCGGGAGGCTAGGCTCGCAGCCGCAGCTGCGGAGCCGGGAGTCACATCTGCTGTTCTCTAGAGCCCAGAGCCAGGGTGCCGTCTATGCCCATTGCACTAACTGGCCCTTTGTGGTCCCTTTTTACCAACGTCGTGGCATCTGTGACATTTATTCATTTATTTTTGCATCATAGCTTTCAAAACTTTTGTGTTTAAAATTTGAGCGTTTTGCTTACTCATTAGTATTATTTCTGGCTTTTCCTCCCAAAAGAGTGCTAAGGAAAAGTCCAGTAAACCTTGATCGATTTTATAAACTTTTCGTCTTATTAACTCAGCGGTATTCTGTGTAGTTTGTGAAATTATTTGTAGGAAAACCACATTGTAGGCATGATACACATACACTCGCTTCTCCCTTTTGCTAGTGTGTGAGAATTTCGTAGGCCAGTTAAAGATTTCCTATTTAACCTTCTATATTTAGGATGTTATTATCGAGGTGGTGGTCTTTTCTTAGGAATAACATAACAGATCTGCAGTTTTCTTGACCAGGTGTTACTAAGTCATCATCAAGTAGCTTAATTTAGTTGAATCTAAAACTGCTTCTATTGAGTGAGAGTACTGTGCAGGATAGTAAATAGGACAAACATAGCTGATTCTTGTGGTCATGAAGTTGGTAATGCAGTGCAGTGTTTTTCATATTATGGATCACAATCTTTTAAGTGGTCCCCACCAGCAGTTTTTTTTAAGAAAAATGAAACAAAAAATATTAGAGTGTGTCTTTTGTGGTAAGTGTGAGTTTGATATCTCCTGTCTGCTGGTTTGTGCAGTAAAATGTGTTTATTACACGTTGTGATCAAAAAGTTTGAGAAACACTGGTAGTAGGTTAGCATCTGCATGTCAAACATTTATTTTTTAACTGTTCAAAGTCCTGGGGTTTGTTCGTTTGTTTGTGTAGCGCAGTTTAGTTAAAAGTTAACTGGGAACCTGTGCAGTCGGCGTAGTTGGACATGATATTTGGAACTCTTCACAGTGGTACATTTTTCTTTCTATTTTTTTTCTTCCTAACTATT